TATAGTTTTTGTCTGCTTTCTCATGCGGGTGTAGTAAGATGGTGACTTCTTTAGGGTTGGACAGTCCCTGATGGCCTCACTCACATGTCTGACAGTTGACCAAGGAGCCTTAGTTCTCCATCTGGCCTCTCCAGCAGGCTCACCTGGCCTTGCTCCCAAGGTGGCAGTATTCCATGAGTTCCCTGTGGCAAGAGAAGCCCAATTCAGAATCTTTTAATTAAAGACATTTTTTAAACTTTAGTTTTTTTTAAAATTAAATCTTTATTGTTCAGATTATTACATTGGTTCCTCTTTTTTCCCACCATAACTCCTCTCCACCCAGTTCCCACCCCACCCTCCGCCCTCACTCCCCACCCACTGTCCTCATCCATAGGTGCACGATTATTGTCCAATCTCTTCCCGCACCCCCCACACCCCTTTCCCCCACCAAGAATAGTCAGTCCATTCCCTTTCTATGTCCCTGATTCTATTACAATCACCAGTTCATACTGTTCATCAGATTATTTATTCACTTGATTTTTATATTCACTTGTTGATAGATGTGTATTTGTTGTTCATAATTTGTATCTTTACCTTTTTCTTCTTCTTCCTCTTCTTAAAGGATACCTTTCAGCATTTCATATAATACTGCTTTGGTGGTGGTGAACTCCTTTAGCTTTTTCTTATCTGTGAAACTCTTTATCTGACCTTCACTTCTGAATGATAGCTTTGCTGGATAAAGTAATCTTGGTTGTAGGTTCTTGGTATTCATCACTTTGAATATTTCTTGCCACTCCCTTCTGGCCTGCAAAGTTTCTGTTGAGAAATCAGCTGACAGTTGTATGGGTATTCCCTTGTAGGTAACTGAGTTTCTTTCTCTTGCTGCTTTTAGGATTCTCTCTTTGTCTTTTGCTCTTGGCATTTTAATTATGATGTGTCTTGGTGTGGTCCTCTTTGGATTCTTTTTGTTTGGGGTTCTCTGCGCTTCCTGGACTTGTAAGTCTATTTCTTTCACCAGGTAGGGGAAGTTTTCTGTCATTATTTCTTCAAATAGGTTTTCAATATCTTGCTCTCTCTCTTCTTCTGGCACCCCTATAATTTGGATGTTGGTATGCTTGAAGCTGTCCCAGAGGCTCCTTACACTATCTTCGTATTTTCGGATTCTTTTTTCATTTTGCTTTTCCGGTTGGGTGTTTTTTGCTTCTTCCCATTTCAAATCTTTGACTTGATTCTTGCGCTCCTCTGGTCTGCTGTTGGGAGTCTGTATAATATTCTTTATTTCAGTCAGTGTATGCTTAATTTCTAGTTGGTTCTTTATCACAATATCGAGGGTCTCACTAGATTTCTTGAAGATCTCACTACATTTATCGGCGGTCTCACCAGTCTTTTCAAGGGCCTTACTAAATTTATCAGTGGCTTCTAGACAGTTCTTTAAAGACCTTAAAAGTGTGGTTTTGAACTCTATATCCAGCAGTTTGCTTTCCTCCATTTCTGTCATTTGTGTCCTGTTTCTTTGTCTCGGCATTTTTTTATGCTTCGCTGTGTCGATAGAGTGCCTTTCTGTGCTAAGTGTCCCAATTACCTGAGGTAGACACTCCTGGTGCACCCCCTTGTGGGCTTTGTGCAGTCTTGTTGTAATTAAGCCTTGATTGTTGTAGTTATCACTGGGAGGAATTGACCTCCAGGTCAATTGGCTGTGAGAATCAGCCGTGTCTGCAGTGGGAGAACTGTGCTGGAGACACCCCTCTGGGGCAAGACTTGCTTCAATGGGGCTTTGGTGCTCACTGAGTCTGCCCCCTGAGTGTGTCTTTTATGGTTCCATAGAGCTGCAAACTGGATGTTCCCACTCTGACCTCTGGGATTCCTGGCTCCTGGATCTCTAGGGAGGTGCTAATCAAGCCTTTGCCTGCGGGTATCCAGCAAAAGCCTCCCTGCAGGGCTTGGGCAGGGCAGGTCCCACGGGATCAACAGGGCAGGGCTAGCAGTTATGGCTGCTCTCAGTCTTGCCCTCAGAGGCTCTGCTTCTCAATGTCCCGGTAATCGCTGCAAGCCCCTCGGAGAGAAAGCTGCCCTTGGGTTCTGACCGATGCCAGACTCATACTCTCATATGAGTCTGGATCCATAGACACTCGCCCGGAACTGGAACTCAGAGCCTGAGACTCCCTCCCGATTGAAACAGACAACCGCGCCCTCAGCTGCCAGCCCGCTCCGCATGCACTCCGCACCTTAGTATTTTACTTCTGCACTGCGCCTCCTCTGAGTCTTGGTATGCTTTTCTCTTTCCTTCTAGTTGTAGAATTTCCACTCAGCCAGCCTTCCTGTGGTTCTGGATGATGTCCTTTCCGTCTTTTAGTTGTATTTTTGAAGTGGTTGTTCGAGGCAGCAAACTCCAGTGTTTACCTATGCTGCCATCTTGGTTCTCTCTACTTTTATTGTTGACATCTGTTGACACAGATGTCCCAATGCCCCCCTTTACCCACCTGAACCCAGCCCCTGGCACCCCTTACCTCTTGCCAACACCACAGTGTTGTCTGTGTCTATGGGTTATGCATCTATGTTCTTTGGCTAATCCCTTCACCTTCTTTCATCTACTCCTTCCGGCAAGTGTTAGTCTGTTCTATGTATCCATGCCTCTGTTTCTATTTCATCATTTTAATTTGTTCATTTCGTTCCACTTGGAAATCTTAGTGTTGAAAAACATTCTTATTAACTTGTGTTTTATTGTTTTATTTAACTTTTTAAATGACTCTAAAATGTGTCATTAATTGGGTATGCTATAATTTAATGAATAGGTCATCATGATTAAATCATACTTATTCAAGTGTTATTATTACAAATAACTTTTCATCTTAAATATCCAATCTTGATTGATGTATGTTGGAAGTTGACCAAGAGGGTGAAACACAAAGGCTAAAACACTGTTGGCATTAGCAGAGCCAAGGGACCTACTGTGGAACGGAAATGACAGAAAGACTTTCTCTCTATCTCCAGGGTCGCTGAGGATCAATTTCTATGAACACTCAGGACCTCTGGATGGGAGTCCTTACCTCCAGCACCACCAATTCTTTGCCATTGATCAAGTCAGAAAAGTGGGTACCTTTTGGGTGTGCTCTACTTTGAAGGATAAATACTTGGAGAGGCACATAGGCTGGATTATAGACCCACTCACCCACTCGTTCTATCCCCCTTATTCATGAATTTTTCCTGCTAATCCTTCCTCACCCACAGTTTCCTCACTGACGTTTCTATTGTATCACAACACGTCCATTTCAAGGACATAGTTCTGATTAATTCTATTTATGATACCCCCACACCTTCTCACCTGCTGGGAATATTTCTAGAAGAGACTTAGAAACTGAAAGGAAGCCAGAGGGCGGGGCTTCCAGAAATCATTTATAACCTACCACTTGCAGACATCACACACACAACCAGACACAATTTGGAAGAGCTTGCCAGCAGAAGGCACAACAATGGCAGCGATACTGGTGAGTTAAACAGGCACAGCCTTCAATGATCCCAGATCCCATAAGAAGGAGGAAAGAGTCTGAGATTTTCTGAGATGAAAACATTGGGAATGTTTTACTTGGTGTAGTGAATGTGTGGAAGAGAGAGGCTGGGCCAGTGTATCTACTGTCAGCATTTGGTGGTATCTGACTGAGGGTGAACTCTATTGAGACACTGTGACTTTTTGTGGGAAGTGACAGTTGACTGGGATGAGGGAGTGTGTGCATGGGTGCAAGGGGTGAGTGGATGAACAGCTATGCATGTCATCATGAGTAGTAGTGTTGGGAGGTATGTGTAAGACGGTGAGTCCCATGTCCTTGTGTAACTGTGTGTATGATGATCTATGCCTGTGTGTTGAACTATGAATATGTGTGTAGCTGTGTCTGCTTCTGAGGGTTCTCCCGTACATGATAGTGACTTTTTAAGCAGCTGTAGTTCTTTCCATGTGTATCACTGTGGCTCCTGTTGGGCAGAACTGGAGGTCTTGGGGAGAGTTGATTTCCCAGAACTCCTTCCTGAGCATTAATGAGAGCAGAATGAGTCAGTCCTCAGGTGCCTCTTCTCAAGAAGGCGGGAGGAAGGTGAACACAGACTGTGCGGCACAGGAGCTCCTGTCTGAATCAGCACACAGTGATCCCTGCTCCTGCCTCGGGTCTCCTCCCCCTGCCAGCCCTTCCTTTGTTCTACCAAAACACACACACACACACACACACACACACACACACACACACACACAACGGTAAGCAGATCCTGGCTCTCTGGGGAAGGTGGTTGGGAGAATTAATTTCAGAGAATGGATCACCTGAAGATGGAAGGAACAAAACCAGCCTCAGTCCAGACAAACCTTAAGGTTGATATCAGGGAACAACCTGTAGATTCTATCTAATTCTTTTCCTGTCTCTCACCCTGTGTGCAGGTACTGACTGTCCTCAGCAACTAGTACACATTCCTGAAAGGACAACATTGCCCTTGAAAATTCTGATGCATATACTTGCCACCCACAGGTGTCTCCTTTTCCATTATTTCCCTCTCCCTTTAAACAACTATCTTATATTGGAGTGGATTTTTATATTTTATACGTTTACATTCTAAAGCCTTATCTTCACAGTTTCAGATAAAAACCGATGGGAGGGTGGTATCCCACAAAGAGCCCTCCCCTTCCGCTAAGTCACCTCTGTATCGACCCTATACCTGCCAGTGACCATGCCAAAGGTTTTACCTCTATTAGTGCAGCTATTCCTGAGAATATCCTAGGAAATAGGAATTTTATAATCCTTCTTGTACTGAGAAAATGGAGGCAGGGAGCATTCAAGTAATGGAACTCAGTTCTCATTGGTCGTAAGAGGCAGAATCAACATTTGAATCCAGGCCACCTGGCTTTTGAACTCTTGCTCTTAACTTCAACCTTCACATTCCTTAAAAACACAGGGACCTGCCTGTGGTGAGGTGCGAAAAAGAGGGTCCTCCGGATATGTCCTTTGGTGTCTAACCTGCTTTGTCACTGGGAACTGTTATAGGATGGGTGACCACACCTGGCCTTGCCCCTCTCAACTACTCTCGTCTCCCATGGCAGGTCCCATATACAAAACTTATGTCCTTGCCTGTTGGTTCTTTCTTGAAAATCAAAGGCACACCTGCCGTGTCTTTCGGGTAAGTATCTATAGCCCATGGGGAGGAGAAGTGAGGTTATTAGAGCTTTGGGGGTCACTTCATGCATAACTGTGGTTAAAATTTGTAATTAGCATAATGGGAGCACAATGCAGCTGCAGTTCCTGGAGCCCCATATGGTTCAGGCATTAAACCTACAGGTGCATGACTGTGGGCAAGTGGTGAAGTCTGGGGGCTGGGGTCACTCAGGCATTGGACTGAGATTTATTATCAAGGGACACAGTATTTCCAGGGCATGAAAAGTAGCCACAGGCCAGTGACTGCTGCTCAGTGTGAGTCCTGGGCTAAGAGATGAGGCATCTCCCCAGCCTGGGCAGGACGAGCTGAAGCAGCCCCACAGGGACACATACTGCAGTGTCACCCAGGAAGGCCTTCCCTCCCCCAGGAGGAGATGGGAGGGTGTGGATGTGTGTGTTGAATGTGCGCCCCCATGAGGAAGGGTCCTGCTCAATATGCTGTGTGCTTTGCCTTCAGCAAGAACCCTCAACTGCAGGTGGATTTCCACACTGAACATGAAGATGACTCAGACATCGCCTTCCATTTCCGAGTGTACTTTAACAGCTGTGTGGTGATGAACAGCCGTCAGGGTGGGAAATGGAAAGAAGAGGTGAAAACATCTGTTATGCCCTTTAAGGATGGCCAACCCTTTGAAATGGGCATCTCGGTGCTGCCAAAGGAGTACCACGTGAGTGTGCCCAGGAACATCCACTACCATCCTGTGGCTCTCAGGGCTCTCACAGGAGCACACAGCTCTCCCTGGCCTGGCCCCAGAGTCACTTGTGGTTCATCTCCTGCCCCTCTCATCACACAGCACCCTCTGCTTGTACTGCCATGCTCAGGTCCTTTTCCAAATCTGAGCAGGTCAAGATCAGCACCCGTGCCTTATTCTCCAGGGTGGAGAAGTTCCTGTCTTCACTCACAGCCATCGTTTCTACCTATGCTGTCATTCCTTCAGTTTTCATGTAGGAGGTGGTTAAAATGTGCATATAACTAATTATAATCAGTCTAAAATTAAGTCTTTCCTACATTCCCAAACCCAGTCCCTCTCTCCAGAGCAATACTTCCTAATTCCTTTATGCTCCTTCCAGAGATACTATGTGCTTGTTCAAGTCTATCTATCTATCTATCTATCTATCTATCTATCTATCTATCTATCAATCTATCTATCTATCTATCTATCTATCTATCTATCATTTACCTCTATTTGCTTTTATTTTTAAACAAATGATGTTGTAAGTTTCCTAGAAATCACACATTGATAACTAGATTGCATTTGTTGTCAAAGAATGTATGTTAGAGAAACTAACATCATGCTATTTGTGATGCCCCCACATCATTTAATGTTTGCATAATATTTCCCTAGAAGCATTTTCAGAAAATTTAACTTGGCTCTTATTCATGCACATTTAGGTGGTTTCCATAGTTTTCTCTGATGAATGATGCTTCATTCTATATCACATTTTTGTCATTATCAACCTCCCTATTCTTATAAGGGAGTATAATTTCAGCGGAATTGAATATCTGGTTCAAAAACGGTATGCATTTTAAATTTGAAAAATTAAGACCTAAAAAGTCCACTATTTCTCCATAGCCACCCCATAAGTGTATGTTTAAACCTATCATTGGAGAAGCAAAAAGATTTAATGTCTTATGATTGAAGTGAGGCATTGTTCCATTTGCTTATAAGCTAAATAAAAATATCCTCATTTTAATCATATGTACTATTCCTCCTCTTTAGGAACATTCAAGTTTAGGCTCAGTGGTTAGAGCACTGGCCTGCACACTGGAGGTTCTCAGGTTGGTTTCTCCATCAAGGCATGTATCTAGATTGCAGGTTCAATCCTCTGCCCCAATGAGGCACATCAGGAGGCAACCAATTGAGTCTCATCTCTCTCTCTCTCTCTCTCTCTCTCTCTCTCTCTCTCTCACCTCTCTCTCTCCTCTTCCCCCTTCCTTCCATCCTCACTCTATAAAAAATAGGAAAAAAGAGTTTTATTCTTTACCTTACTACCCCAAGTCTGAGTTACTTGGTCACCAGGAGTAAATGACAATAAAGTTTAGCAGAGCTAAAATGAATGCACTCAATACACACTTAGTGACCAATTAGCTATGATACTCTGTGCAAGACCCAGACTCACGATTCATGAAACAGTTTCTGGCCAGAGGGAAGCCCAGGCAAACATAGACAGTGCAACATAGAGTGCTAACACCTCAGTAGAAGAATGAGAGAAACAGAAAATAGGGTGAATATCTGTCAGAAATAATCACTAAAGGTAGGCTATAAAAAGAAGCATGTCTGTTGTGTATTGAGTGTGACTAGAAGTTTCTGGTGGATGGTGAGTGTATAGGGTAGGAAAGGAAAGGAAGATGGCAAGTTTGTTTGGTAGTATGCTGTATTTCTGACACATATTGTCTTCCAGGTAATAGTAAATGGCTGCCAAAGTTATACTTTTCCCCATCGACTTGACCCAAAATCTGTGAAGATGATCCAGGTGTGGAGAGATGTGTCCCTGACCTCAGTGATTATCGCTTAGAGAAGGATGTGACCAGACTCCCCGTTGTCAAGGAGACCCCTCCACCTAAGTGACTTTGTGGTTCCCAGAGCTCACCAACAACATGGGTTCTCACCCTTCCCCCACACTCGGTCATTAAAACTCCTGAAAACAGAACAAGATTTGCTTCTTGCTTTAGAGGGAAAAAGAGAGAGGAAAAAAGAGTATGTGGTTATCAGCAAGAGGGGTGTGAGAATATTGTGGGGGAGATCAGGGTATCAAAGTGGATAAACATTTCTCTGATACAAGGAGTGAGTGACAAGCTCATCAAATATCTGAGAAGACATTGGAACCATATTCTTATGATGTAGTGCTTAGGATATGTTAGGAACTCTGAAGCAAAATCCTTCCTAAATTCAGAGAGCTAAACTAAGACTTTGGGCATCTCTCTGCACACATAGTGCTATAATTGGTGATTTGATGAAGAAACTTTGTATTTTGAGGAAAATCAGGTGAAAAGTCTTAATTCTTCCTTTACGCTAAGAATTTTTAATTTATATTGACACTGTGCCTGGTTTTGTGTAAGATGCACTGGGGAAAATAAAGAAAATGACAAGGCCAGCACTTAAAATTTCTTTTAACCCTCACCTGAGGATATATTTTTGTTGATTTTGACAGAGAGGGAAAGAGAGAGAGAGAGAAAGAGAGAGAGAGAGAGAGAGAGAGAGAGAGAGAGAGAGAGAGAAACATCAATGAGAGAGAGAAACATCAATTGGTTGCCTCCCATATGTGCCCTGACTGGGAGCTGAGCCTGCAGCCTTTTGGTGTACAGGATGATGTTCCAACCAACTGAGCCCCCAGCCAGAGTGCACGAAAAAAATAGTAATCCAAGGACTATTTGAAGAACCAAAAAATTTGCCCCAAAGATTTTTCTATTATTCAAACAATTGCAATATTTTTCCAATTTATGTGGGCAGAAGCCTGGGGCATGTTTCATAATGAATTGTCACCATTTTAGACCAGGGAGGATAAAAATTGTTATTAAAACAAGAACAATATATACACCCGAATGCAGTGACCAGACTCTGGTTTTGATGTCGTCCCACTTAATCACTACAGAATAACCAGCCTCCCCAAAATATATTGCTTTAAAACTATAATTTATTATTATCTCCGTTTTGCAGGGTTATTGCACTTATATGGGTAGCTTATTATGTGGCCTTAATCAAATTGCGGTGGGAAGTGAAGTTTTCTGATGGATGCTTTCCTCATGTCTGACACTTCACTTGGGCTGGCTGACACAGCTGGGGGCTGGCTGGTTATTTCTCTCTTCACGTGACCTTCATGGTTGTCTTAGACCTCTTCAGATCACAGAGGTCTCAGGGGTTTGGGACTGGCTTCTGCCACAGAGAACCCTTGAAAAGGCTCAAGCAGAAGATGCAAGGTGTAATGGGACCCAGCTCTAGAAGTCATGCAGTGTCACTCCCAACACATCCTATTGGTCAAACGTGAGTGAGAGAGACGGCCATAATCATGTGGAGAAGACTACACCAGGGCATGGGTATGTTGCCTTGTGATTCATGACAAGTCATCCTAGACTAGTACTGTTCCACCATCAGGCTCCAGAGACATTCACACTTCCCACATACCCCGAACTCTGACCACTCTCCAAGGAATTCCAAGTGTAAGACAATAACAGCAACAAGCTCAAGACAGAAGTCCAGGATTTCACCATTTAAACCAGGACCTGGTGCTCACGAACTGAACCGAGTATAACTTCTCAGGTGCAGTTCTTCTCAATATGTGCACTAACGGGGCAAAATACATCATACATGCCAAACCTACATGCTGAAACAGACACAGCATAAATGCAACCCACATTTCCAGAGGAGATGTATAGCAGCCACAGCTTCATATCACATAGGACACCCAGTCAGGCTCATATCTACCCTTCTCTCTAGGACTGTTTTCTCTGTAGCGATTGAGTCCACCCTCCATTCTCAGCTTCTTTGAGTTCTTGCCAAGACGTCAGAATGACAACTCCAGGGGCTCTGATGGGTCATCAGCTTCTTAGCAAGTCCGGAGAACCACTTAGCAGACCCAATACTCAGAAGACGCTATTCCTAAAAACATACCAGGGCAGATATAAGAAAGTGGGGAGGAGGGTGTCAATGAGGGGGAAAGGGGAACAGCTGTAATACTTTCATCAACAAAGATAAAAAATGAAACAGAGCCTGGTACATCAAAACAAAGGAAGGTCTTCTGGAAATAGCCTCTCTGTCCACAAGGACTACCTCAGGCATCAATCGTGTCATCCCTCACTGTGTCCACTGCCACAGCGACTCCTTCAACTCCAACCTTACTAACTGGAATGCTTCTTTCCTTAGCCTTCCTCCAACCTAACACCCAGAAGCCTTGAGGTGGCAACACATTGCTAATGGCGCTCTTCAGGCCTTTCTTCTGTGCAGAGAGAGCCTGGTGGGCACCTGAGCCAAGGGCCCTCGGCTGAGTCCAGCAGCTTCAGCAAAGCCATGTCCTGGAGACATTCCTCGCCAAAGGCAGGGATGTGATCAGTCCTGACCTTTAGCTCAGGCGCCAGGGGGTGGGTGTAAATATCTAAGTGCAGCCAGGCCCAGGTGGGGATGCAGTTATCAGGGTCCATTCAGACCTGACGATTCTGAGAAGCCACAGGAAGGAAGAATTGCAGCTTGATCTTTCAGCATGATTTCACATAATTTCCTCTGTCTTAAACTCTAGTAAAACTTTTTGGTATCACGCTGTATCCAATAAACGCGATGCACTAGCTCTGGGTCACTGTCTCTCCATCCAAGAACAGTGTCCCACCTGGTCCCAGCTTTCCCTACTGTCTCTGTGTCTGTTTCATTCTTTTTCTCAATCTCCATAGCCCCTACTCAGGACTCGTCTGCTCTCTAGCAATTCTGGTCGTGCCTAAAAGAGAACACTTATACTTCTGGGTTTCATTTCATACTGGAATGAAATGTCCTCCCCGAACTCTATATAAACTCTTGAGCTTTGATTAGGCACAAACTCCTCCTTTCACCTCTTTGTCTTAATCTTGGTCACTTGTCTCTTTTTTTGTTTTTTCTTTTTTTTGTTGTTTGTGGTATTATTTTGTGTTTTTTGTTGTTGTTGTTGTTGTTAATCCTCACCCGAGTATATTTTATGCCATTGATTTTTTAGAGAAAGAAGAATACCTAGGCAATCCTACCTGGTGGCCCTGCTAAACAAACTCACAATAATTGCCCGTTCTTTGAATGATATTCATCAACTCAGGCCACTTCACGTGGATTATTACACCCCTATTTATCTGCTTTGTGCTCATGGTGGCCAGGAGTGATGTCTCAGATACTAAGATATGAAATAGACAGTCCAGGATTCAGTGTTCAATAAGAAATCTGTGAAGTACCTCTGAGGACTTCTCCAGACCCCATTTTTCTCATTCCTCCTCAATGCAAATCTCCCAGCAGATAAGGCAAATCTCAGAGAATAGAAAGACCTTCTTATTCCCTGAAGCCTTCTCTTCTCAGTGTCTTTTGCTGGTCCATGACTGATATGACACCTTCAAAACAGTAAGTTCTGGGTCTTTTGCCTTATTTCCATTCCTCACCATCTACCAAATCTCTTGGTTACCTGATATCTCAGCTGTTCTGAGTGACAGCAAGACTCTAAATTTGGATTTTTATAGATGAATTGTTCACTATACATCGAATTTTTATTGCACCCAGAAGATTCCATACAGACTTTGTTGAGTCTGGAGTTTATACAATTTGAATTTCATATGATTTAGGAAAAAGAATGTAAAATTGTGAACACAAAATTGAATGTTTACTTAGAACCATTAATCACCATAAGTCATAATTTTAAAGAGTTAACAAATACAACAAACATTTAAAAAGTAGAAAAATCACAGTATTATCTTTATTATTAACAGATCGACATACCCCCAAATTCTTTTTTTTCTTACATACTCTGATTGCCTCTTAATATGACAAAGATTTTGTAGCATCATTTTCTGTAGAGAGGTTGGAAAGACAATTCAGTATTTCCTCTAGTGTGGCTATTTACAATTCATTTTAAAGTATAAATAAAGTATTAGAATTAAAAAAAAAACTTGTGAGTTCTGTTCTAATACTATCCTTGATACCAGAGTCTGCAAAGCTTTCCTCTCTGTGGTGTTGTCTCTGGTGTTAATGTGAGGTTAGCATCCTGTTTCCAAGTGAAGGGCAGTGCAGACAAAATATAGATGACATTAATAAATTCTTATATCTCACAGGAAAATGTAGCACCATTGACTATCTATTACATCCTATAAAGAACTTCAATCTTATGCCTCAGCATTAAGAGCTCCTGGTTTTGGTCCCATAAGTTCTCTTTTAAATGACCTACTATTTTAAAAAATATATTTGTATTGATTTCAGAGAGGAAGGGAGAGGGAGAGAGAAATAGAAACATCAATGAAGAAAGAGAATCATTGATCGGCTGCCTTCTGCACACCCCACACTGGGGATTGATCCCACAACCCAGGTATGTGCCCTGAATAGGAATCAAACCGTGACCTCCTGGTTCATAAGTTGACTCTCAAGCACCAAGCAACACCTGCTGGACAAATGACCTATTTTTTAAAATTTAATTTTTATTATTCACACTACTACATTTCCCTGCCTTTGCCCACCCCTTATCCCTATGTCTGGTTCTATTTTGATCATCAGTTTATTTTGTTAATTAGATTCCACCTACAGGTGAGAGCATATAGTATTTTTCTTTCTGTGACTGGCGTATTTTGATCAGCGTAATAATGTCCAGGTCTATCCATGCTGTCATTAAAGGTAATAGTTCCTTCTTTTTACAGCTGCATAGTATCCATTATGAAATGTGCCACAAATTTTTTATCCACTCATCTACGGATTGGCACTTGGGCTGTTTCCAGATCTTGCCTATTGTACATAAAGCTGCTATGAACATAGGGGTGCATATATACTCTTTTAATTGACATTTCAGATTCTTCCAATATATTTCCAGAAGTGGGGTTGCTGGGTCAAAAGGCAGCAGAACAGAATAGAGAGCTCAAAAATTAACCCACACCTATGGTCAATTAATATTTGACAAAAGAGGCAAGAGTATACAATGGAGTAAAGACAGTCTTTTCTTTTTTT